ACACCTTTCATTACATTTTGTCTCGGCCCAAACTTCTGTCCTGTGATTGTAAAGAATCCTGATTCGATGATATGAAAAAATAGCAGAACGAGCGAACAACTCCTACTTTCAATTTGCATCTGCTACGGTCCACATGATCGAAGGACCAAGGTTCACTTCAGCGGGAATCGCGGTCAACTTTGAGATTGCGCGTCAAAATCCATTCACACAACTTGTACTTAAAAATCACCCTCAACTTCGTTCATTGAATCGTTGTGCTAATGCTTTCCATTCTTGAACCGGTGGCTAATGGGCAGCCATCACTACTAACATCCCAATGGACACGGCTTCGATGCCTCCTAAGTCTATATGACGTAGTGTAATTACTTGGAAACGAGTCCTAATGGTGCATTATCAGTCGTGCAACACCCAATTTCGATTTGCATCAGCTACGGTACTCTTGATCGATAGACCAAGGTTCACTTCAAAAGGAATCGCAGTCAACATTGAGATTGCGCCTCGCAATCCATCCACACAGCGTGTACTTCAATCGACTCTTATCATCCTTCATTAAACCGTGGTGATAAGGGTTGTCGATTTTAAAACGGTGACATAGGGGTGGCGGTAACAATTAAAATCCCCATGGTCCCGAGTTCGTTGCATGCTGACTTTGTCAGATGAAATGTAATTACATCTAAACACGTCGTAGTATGCCGTTTCTTCGGGCGCGCAATAAATAATTTTGCTTTGAATCTGCTACGATCCCTTGATCAAAAGAGCAACGTTCATCTCAATGGTAATCACTTTCAAACTATAGACTGAGCGCCGCAGTCCATCCACACAACGTACATATCAAAAGGACTCTCAACATCGTTCAACAAACCGTTGTACCATGCGTTGCCGATTATAAAACGGTGACATACGGGTAGCGGTAACAAATAAAATCCCGCTGGTCCCGACACCGATTCATGCAAACTTTATCAGATGAGATGTGATTTCATCGAAAATAGTCCTAGTATTGCAGTGTTTTCTGGCTGGCAACACTCAAATTTCGATTTGACTCTGCTACGAACCTCGTGATGGAAAAACCAAAGTTCACTTCAATGGGAATCGCTCTCAAACTGAGGATTGCGCGTCATAATCCATCCACACAAGGTGTACTTCAAAATGACCCTCAACATCTTCCATTAAACCGCTGTGCCAAGCGTTGCCCGTCGTGACTCGCTGGCTTACGGGTAGCGGTCACAACGAGCATCTTAATAGTCCCGGGTTACGTGCCTTCTAAGTCTATCTGAGAAGATGGTGTTACATCACAAAACCTATTAGTAGTGCAGTGTTTTCGGTAGGGAAACAAGCAACTTCGATTTGCATCAGCTACCGTACTCATGATCAAAAGACCAAGATTCATTTCAATGAGAATCGTGCTCAAAATTATGATTGCACCTCGCAATCCATCCACACAAAGTGTACTTCAAAATGACCCTCAACATCTTTCATTAAACCATTGTGCAAAGGGTTGCCCGTCGTTACCCGCTGGCTTACGGGTAGTGGTCACAAATAACATCCGAATGGTCCCGGGGTCGATGCCTGCTAACTCCATCTGATATGATGGAATTATGTAGAAACGCGTCATAGTAGTGCAGTGTTTTTGGGTGGGCAACACATAATTTCGGTTTGCATCAGCTACGGTCCTCGTGATCGCAAGACCAAGGTTCACTTCAATGGAAATCGCAGTCAACATTAAGATTCCGCGTCGCAATACATCCACACAACGTGTACTTCAAAATGACTCCCAACATCGCTCATTGAAACTTGTGCCAAGCGTTGCCCGTCGTGAGCCGCTGGTTTATGGGTAGCGGTTACAACTAACATCCCAAAAGTCCCGGTTTCGATGTCTGCTAACCCTATCTGATGAGATTGAATTACATCGAAATGCGGCATAGTTGTGCAGTGTTTTCGGGCGGGCGGCACCCAATTTCGATTTGCATCAGCTACGGTCCACGGGATCGAAAGAGCAAGGTTCACTTCAATGGGAATCGCGGTCAACATTGAGATTGCACGTCACAATCCATCCACACATCTTGTAAGTCAAAAGAAAACTCAACGGAGGAGGTATTTGTGGAGAACGCAAGGTATCAAACTAATACGTTGCTAGCGAATCCCGCAAGTTTGAACAAGGGCCGAGTGAATCAGCCACGGGAGAGGAAATCGTGAGCTTGGGAACGACATCGGATACAGCGAAGGATGAACGGGATGAAAACTTGGAGGAGTTACCCCGAAGGTCAAACACGAAAGCACATGGAATGGCTCGTCACACAAATTCTCATCCGCGTTGCGCCGTGGGAAAGAAACACGGTCTATATCTGTACGCGTTTGTGAGTTCTCAATTGCTCGTTGTTTGACAATATACGTCCTGCCCCTCCTCCTGCTCGTTCTCGGTACAATATAACTTGCTCAAGTATGAAACCAGTACAGTCCCGAATGGCTTTGAGGAAGAAATCGTAGTCAGAGCGATAACATTTGATACAGTGATGTCATGGGTTTCGGGAAACAGGCATTCCAAAGCGCTATCCATCATCTCGATGCACGTGTGCACCCCTGTCCCATACTGTCGCTGATTCAAAGATGTGCTTTGTTTACTAATGACGTCGACTTTTCGAAGTGACACATCATCACCGGCAATCGAAGTATCTGTTATGGTAGCAATCTGACGACAAGTGCTTGGAGAATTGCTATGGTTGGCTCTCTTATGTGCGGTTTTCTCCCGAAATCGCGCAGTCTTATTTGGCACACCTATCTCCGCAAGAAACAGACCAATAACTATAAGACCAGTGATAGGATAATCAACAGGAAAAACTGGTACAGTAATACCGAGGCTCTAGACATCATTAGAAGGACTGTGGGGTTCCGGTGGCATTGTGTGCTCGGGATTCGCGGCGAACATAACCTCGGTTTGGTCAAATACTGCGTGACAATCGTCCATGTACTTCTTAGTCTCGTAACCGAGACACATCAAATGACAAGTTTCGATGGGCTAGAGTACTGAATGGGCCTTCTCGGGGCAGATGCTGGTAATTTGTTTGGGCCCAACACAATCTAACCGAGTGGAGTTCTGATTGCGTACGGATCACTAGGACCACCACGTCTTTGCTCCAACGCTCAATGGAGATAGGAGTTATCGGTTCCAGTCAAAAGTCGCACGTTATTCTCTAGCTCTGGTAGCATCAAATTAGACAGATGAGCCCATTTCCGTCATATTTTTGGTGTCTACAGTAATTGCTCGAGGAAGACCGCTGACTGATTTCAGTCTAACGGTCTCATCTTTATCCATCGAGTAGACAGTTAAGTTCGTCAGCTGTGACTCCACCTCACATTGACCGGCAATCGTCTGAATTTTCAGCGTCTCCGCAGTTCTTCGCACGTTTAGTTTGTGCAGTAAGGTTAAATCGACTAATGAACTGTTTGATCCATTATCTATCAATGCTAGTGTCTGAATTGTGCCGGTAGGACCAGTAACTAATACTGGTAGTACACCTAAGGGCACGTCCAAAGTCTCTAGATGGTGAAGTACAAAATTGACACTATGGGAGTTAGATTTTTTGACGTTCCAGTTACTATGATCGACGTGAAGCAGCGGATGATGTGGACGTATACAGAAATTTAACCAATAGTTTCTGCGGGTACGGCAGCTGAGATGATCGTGGTTTAGCTCCAAACATAACAGACATATCTGTTTGATATGATAAAATTTCAAGCGTTCTTAGCGGCTAAGCTTTCGGAAGTCATCACATTGATCTAAATAGTGGTCTTTTGCAAGAAATGAACTTACGGAGAATTCTTTCTAGTGAAATGACGGTATTGAGACGGGCTACATTACCGAGATGCTTCACAGCGCTGTCTCGCTCAGCGTCGGAAGAGACTCCTTGCGACCGGCAGGCGTGTTAACGATGTCAGCGGTTTCATCCACACACGATCAGCTCGATGAAGTCTGGTTCCCTTTCTGCCCGGATAACACGCAGCGTATTCGGCTCAGTCGAACTGAACGTGGCTAGGAATCCCTCTGATAACAGAACCAATTGTTCTTGATGCATTTAGATCAGCTTCATATTTTAACGGTATCAATGTTAGGTAGCAGGGTCGGAGGTCTCCAGCTAAACGAGACAAGGCAGCAAAATCATTTGGTCTGATGTTCGGGCCATCAGTTAAGAGATTAATATACGTTGTGGCTATCACATGAGGCTTTGCAAAGCGCTTCCGTGAGATACTCATTGCTTCATCGAAACAATTGTAAGATGGGGGATTACACAACACTCAATCGCCTGTTTGGCTTCACCGGAGCAGTACTGTATAAGATACGAAAGTCCGATTGTGGGGTCTGAAATCACTTCAATCACTTATGCTTCGAAACAGAGTATGAAGATCCAGTACTGAGCTAAACTGCCGTCAAAGAGGAGTAGGTCGTGGTTAGGTAGGCGATAAGGGGGTCCGAAGACATCATGGTGCACATCAGACTCGCAGATGCAAGAAAGCGACGCCAGGATTCGATCCGGAAAACTTATGGTTACCGAACGACTGATGCGATGAACTACGGATGACGCGTCCGCACCGTCATTTCATGACCCCATAAATGGCACTTTAAGAACAACACCTGATGGCAGGACATTTGCTCCACTTGAACCAAATAATACTTCTTTAGTAGGGGTACTAAATGGGAATTCGTAATCCACTTCTCAAAAATATCAGGAATACACAGTTTAACCACCATCTGCCAATCCCCCAAAGTAGATGCCGGTAGTTTAGTTCTGTCTTCAGCATTTCGAAGTTTGACAGTAGAAGTATTATCATTGCAATATTGAAAATCAACATCGGAATATTTTCTGTAGACATTTTTGCCTTAGTCAACTTATGTAACGGCGGAACGAACTAAATCAAATTACATCGCACATATTGTATAGAAATATTGCTAGTTCCAGCTATAAACATAGACTATACGCACGGTTTGGGCACAAAACGGTCGGACAGAAGCATTTGTATATTGTAATCCTGTAACCGTGGTTCTGAAGGGCAGAATAATATACAAGATAGAACTCATGACTAAGTTTGCAACGACCAAGGAGACAGATAACAGTAATAATGGAGTTAATAGCAGACTAGTAGAAGCGTGACCTTGAGAAAAGTGTATGCAAATGAACTGAGTGGAAAACGATGCGCGTCTGGGCGAGTACTAATTTAAAGCACGAAAAGTATAGCATTAGCTCGGAAGGTAGGAATAGGATCACTGAGCCATCAATAGAGAATAATCGAGTTGGTACAGGAAATCAAAGTACTTTTGGACTTTACAGGGAGCGAATCGAAAGGACAGTGAGCACCACGCGCACACTACTAGCACACACAACAGTAGTAGACACCTAAGCAAATGGATTGTGCGGAAAGCAATGTAGTGCGTATCAAGAAAATTTGTAACAATGCGTTAGTTTTAGCCATCTAGCATAAGTCACCGCAATGATGCGGAACATAGCCCACACTGTGTACAGTCAAACAAACCAAGACCATTGGAAACACTAACGCGTACGAAAACAAATGACGATAGATGTCTCTAAGCTACACATACAGATTAGGATGGAGAGGTAGAGGACAAATTTTGAGACAACCGATAGAAGCGCGCCATCCGTCGTTCTGTTTGGGCGGACATATGAATTCCTCGAAAACCCATTCGTTTCGCCTTCAGTTGCCTAGAGCGAACACGGCGCTTTGAAATGTTGAGCACAAGTGTGGGGTCAAGGCGAGTGCCCCCGGGGCAGTGCGGGAGGCAAGCCTCGTCCAAAGTTTGACCGGTAAACACTTGAAGTCGGAGTATGTTGGATGGCGGGGCGGTTAGGCGTCGTGCATTGTTGGGTCGAAGTTGGAGCGACCGGCCTTCCGGGATGGCATCTAAACCTTGTAACTTCGGAGGGGAGTAGCGGATCTTGAGCCAATCCGGATGATCTCTAAAATGGGTCTTGAGATCCCCGGAACTCGTTGGAACAGGGAGTGATGTGATATCCCCCACGGATGAGATACCGTTCATCAAAGTGGGTGAGTTAGGATGATCATCAGAAGGCTGCACCGGTAAATGGCTTGCCGAAGGGGAATTTATCTGTACTGAAGGGAATGGCTGTGTTGACGGGGAAACTGGATAGGTACAAGACTCGGTGTTGGATTGAAGGCAGCACTGCGGTTGATTTTCGTCACCGTAATCGAAAGTAATGACAGCCTATGAAAAGATGAAAGGCATTACGAAACTGCGAAGATATCCAGTGAGGCAATGGATGAATATGAATAGAGCGAACAATGGAAACAATAAACGTCTGACAAACTAGATGTATGAAGAAAACTGGACAAAGTAATAAATAAATCAAAGGGAGCATACGTGTCCCATTCATTAGCCAATGAGGCACAAGGTGAAAGACCGTGTGGAGAGGTCACTGGAGCAATGTATACCGAAGTCGCAAGTTTACACATCTCAAGATACGAAACTAGTAGCATGAATTTAATGCCTCCAAGATCCTGGAGAAAAGGATAAGGAATAGTAACGGTTTTGCATACCCAACACAGATCGCTAGCTGTACGCCGTAACAGCGCTTTCCTGCCACGCCAGCACCATCAGTCGTGCGCGAGTTTATACCGCGAGGACACCCACCCCTACGCGGATTCCAACGGTACTGGTGATGTGATTCTCGCCTCCCAACAGGATCCGTTCGTTTATGCTTCTCAGCCTGATTGGGTTAAACCAATCTGTCAAACCATTGACAGTTTCACCTTATCCACTCTGATTAGGTAGGCGTTGAGTCAGAGTAATCAACATTTTGGTGTGTCGGCAATCGTCTCCCAACAGTCCCGATATTGCCTAAGTCGATCTCATGCCATGCGTCTGATGCGCGGAGTCACTAGCGCTGAACACCTGTATCCAGACTCGTTCCTTGGCGGCCGTGATATGCGTTTCCCATGTTCTACTATCCTTGTGCGCAGCTCCTACGCAGTCTGAACTATGCGCACCTATGCAATTCTTTGCAACTGAATTTATAGATGTAACTGGTCGTCCTATCTGCAAGAAGTGAGTCTGAGATACACGAGTGTTAGACGAAGAATTTCGCTCGTGTGGAGAACCATCATTAGTTCCTGATTCCGTGGTATCCGTAGAATGTCTACCGAAGTTACCACATTATAAGGAATCTCCACTATCGCAATCCACGCCGTGGTTACAATTGTTGTTTCGCTAACCGTCTCGGATATCTGTTATCCATTACCTGATTAACTGCTTCCTTATAAGTGGACTCCTCACTCTCCATCTCTGCGAAAAGCACGTGATGTGGTTTCAGCATAGAGGTGTTTTGAGTGATCCAAACTATACTGAGCTGCCCAACCAGTTTACGAAAGGTCATTGTTTTCAGACTCGCATTCCCACACACACACACACACACACACACACACACACACACACTGGTGAGTTACATGGTCAAGGAATGGTGTGAGACTAAAATATTCCGAGTGCCACATGGTTATAGTTTCGGTAATGAGGTCAAAATGTAAAGAAACTCCCCATCGTTGTGTAATAGCAAAGGTATCTTCTATGCAGGGCCAACAAACTTTTAACGAGCTGCTTTAAGTTGTCAGTGACCTCAATTCGAAGTCTTCCATTAACAAGCTTGTCAATGCGGGGACATTGGCGAGTCCAGACGACAGCCACGATTCGAACTAAAAATAAGACATCGAAATGTGCGGTTTCATGTCCTTATAGAGAATTCCCATGAAATAAGAAGTACACGATTACACGAAGAATATTAGTGTCCACAAACTTCACCCGATATTTACAAGTATGGAGCAAGGTTAGAAAATGGATTGGCTATTGTAGTTAGGTCGAAATGAAAAGAAACAAAAATTTGTGCGACCTGCTGGCTAAAAATCGAATGTCATCGATCAATGTCGTAGTCAGTCGGACTAAATCGCTCGGACAACACGAACAAACGTCCACGTGAGGGCAAGTAAGGCAGAGGTGAAAAACGCGGATCACCTATTGTGACAAAAATGAATAATTATTGCTAGAGTATATTTATGGATGGCAAAGACAGTGTCCGTTGTTTGTACAGTTTTAGATCCAATACCTTGATTAGGATGGCTTCGGTCGTTGTTAACAGGCGTGTCGTAAGCTGTTTGGAGTAGCGTATAAAAGAGATGCATGAGCCCGTATGTAACATTGAATCGAGTAAGTAGTGGGTTATTTTGGAGTACTCGTTGTATGGCGACGACGAGACTGGACCTTAACGTAGTGTGACGGTTTGCGTACCTCGTCGACCCATTGAGCTATACTGGGTGGGGCCCCCGGGCCTTTTAAGAGCTACTCCTACCAGGTTGGTCAATGGTGAGAGGTCAGACGAACTCAGTTTCCCGGGTCTCCAGGTTGGGGGTCGGGAATGGGATGGCGTCCACTGCTGCAAAACTGAATTACCGCTAGATCCGCTGCTTTGCGGACAGGCTTTTGAGCCAAAGGCTTTGGTTGAGGACCCTAATCGTCCTCCTGTCTAGGTCTGGACGCCCTGGCAGTATCCCAGCCCACGAACAACCATGACTATTTCTGCAACATTCAACCCTATCTTGCATCGGCCATCGCGAAGATTATCAAGGGTCACCGTATCTGCTGCATATGGCAGAGTGGGGAAGGGAAAACATGCTACTGCTGGCGCCTCCCATCCTTCCTTTCTAACCGTTTCTCCTACTCCACTCCTAATCCCCATTACTAGCCTTCCATAATTTCCAGTTTAATTGACAGCAACCGCAATCTCACTGGAGTCATACTATCTTCAGCTATGTTCCCGCACCACCCACTTGACACTAATCTCTAACAGCTCCTCATAAAGCCACACTGTCCTGTTTCCATCGCGGCGTTCAACATTCGTAGTTTGAGACAAATAGGTAAACTGGCTGCACTCACACGCACGTTTGATACACTGGGCATTAACGTGTGTTGTGTGTCCTAAATTAGGATCAAGGACGCTCACGGGGTTGGTAAATTAACTGCATCCAGTTTGTCTTCTCGCTACTGACTGCACGCATCCGGAGACGTTGATGCCGCAACCACTAGCCAAACTGGAGTGGGCAATGTTCACAGATCCAAGGCCAAATCATTGTTGGCTGGTTAGATTTCTGTGAGGATCAGTCTGTGTGCAAACAGTTTGGCTACATCAACTAAGGTTGATTCACGGAGTAGCACTAGACACTGTTTGTTTGTGGTTTCCGGTTATGCGCCCACCGATTGCAGCTCTGATGCTGCGAAGGACGGTTTCTACCAAGAACTGAACACGTTACTATGCAGTGTTACAATTACGGATATCACACAGTGTGGCGCACGAAATGTAATATTATAGATGTAATGTTGAAAACTCGTATTCGTATACTTAGGTTTATGGAAAATCCGGCAGATGTCATGAGTAGTTTGTATGGAATGTTTTCCTGGCGCCAAGCACAAATTGCAAGACGACGCATAAGAGCAGATTGAGTGTTGAACAGAAGGTAAAAGTTGTAATGTTTTTTTTATAGAAACGAGGAGTTTTGTAGCGAAACGAAGAGGTGTACGTGCACACTTTCGTACAAAATGGGCTCCATCAATTTGAAACAACTGGCTCTGTGGTGGAGAAGAATCGACGGAGCAGACGAAGTGCCCGCACCCCCTAAAAACATGGAAGCACTTCGAGTTGCTCTGACATGAAGTCCTAGCAAATCAACAAGGAGGACGGCTGCTGAGTTAGGAATATCTCGTCGGTCCATACAAAGGATTCTGCATTCTGATCTTCAAATGTTCCCTTACAAGATAACATTTGTCCATAAATTAACAGCAGAGGACAAGCAACGAAGACATCAGTTCGCTTCATGTTTACTGCAAGAGGATTACATTCTGTACAATACGTGGTTTACTGACGACGCCCAATTTCATTTAAATGGTGTAGTGAATAAGCAGAATGTTCGTTTCTGGACAAGTGAATATCCTCACATTCTGCACGAAAGGGAAAATTATGGTCAGTGTATAGACAGCAATTTCATCCCGTTGAATCATTTGACCCTTTTTCATTGATGAGACGGTAAACAAAGATTGATATAAGGACATGTTGGAAAACAGATTTATTCCAGAACTCTCGGCGACAGGTCACCCATTATAAACTCAGTGATTCATGCAAGACGGAGCCCGCCCACACAATGCAAATGTGTGACATGTTTGGTGAGCGGGTCATGTCACATCGGTTTCCTGAGGGTCACCAAGGTGGGAGACAGTGGCCCCCTCTTAGCCCTGACATTCATACATGTGATTTCTTCTTGTGGGGCTAGTTGAAAAATAATATTTTCGCAAGGAAGTCTGCAAGTGCAGCTCAACTCAGGGCCTTCATCATGCAGTTGTGCCGTATAATTTCGGAAAAATGTTGCAGGAAGGTTGTGAGAAAGGTAAGGATTCGCATGCAAGAGATTGTGAAACAAAATGGTGACCCAATTGAAGATTACACTGAACGAAATTACCATGCTCATACAATTAACTCTGCACTAATTCCATAATATTTTGATGATAAATACATGTGGAATGAACAAAAGAAATGGTATGACATTTCGTGAGCCATCTTGAAGTTTTTACAGGAGATATCTTCGTTAGATGGTAAGTATAAACTTGACTCCGAGAGAACGGAAAACGGCGAGTGTCTGTTATAGCTGTTTGCGGAGTGCCGGCTGTTTCTTCTTAGTACCGCTATTAGACACAATGGGCGCCGAAGCGCCACTTGGCATCTTCCTGTAGCTGAACAGCAATGGACCCAAGTAGATCAAGTTGTCACCTGGCGTGGTTCCACACTGGATTATCGCTCTCCCTGGAGTACTCGCGTAGACTCTGATTATGTCTTGGTACGCTGTCGTTTTTCCATGAACATTACCGGGAGGCGCACCAAGCGCCTCACTCGATTGGTAACTGAGAACTTATCTCAGCCCTCGGTCAAGCAAGCCTACCAGGATGCACTACGTACCGAACTTTGGTTCTATCGTCCAACTGATACTGAACTTCAATGAAATAAGATCTCGGCTGCCGTGTAACATGTGGGAGCCTCCGCTTTCAACACTATCAATCGCCACCGCACCAGTCACTGCATATCCGATAGGTCGGTGAATCTGTTGGAATGCAGAAGAAATCTACGGGCTGTCTCTGAGCACAATGTTACCAGGCGGACTATTAGGCGTGAACTAAAGCAGAACCTGTGTGCTGACAAGGAAGTCTGATGGGTCAGTCAGGCTTAAGCAATGGAGAAAGCAAGAGCAGCAGACAATTATCGCAAGCTCTTCTAGCTGATCTGCACCACTGGTCCCAGGAAACCAGGCGTGTTAAACAATCACAGACAGCACAGTTGCATTGATTCACAATGCGGAGCGCCGTATGGCTCATCTGGCGGAGCAATTTTGAAAGCAGTTCAGTTGTCCCATTCCTCTGGACCTCTTTCTACTCAGTTATTGCAAGCTGAGACATGGCCAGTTAGTTTAGAAACTTCATCGGAGGCTGCGTTCGAAACGCGATCGGTTTCGTACTACTGATCCGAATTCCCCCTCCCCCCACCTGCACTATTTAAGGATGGTGGTGAGTTCGTTTGCAAAACACTGACCTCCCTGTTCGAGCAGGTCCGAAAGACTGAGACCATCCCGTCTAACTATAGTGAATCAATTTTAGTGGCGATACACAAGAAAGGCAGTCGCAGTCGATGGTGACAAGATTACTGGTCTCAATTCTCGTTCGTCACCTCCCTGCGGAACGAGAATCACGGGATAGGGAAGAGCAGGCAGGCTTCCACCCAGGACGTGGCAGTATTGACCACATATTCACTCTGCGGCAGGTGCTAGAGTAGCATAACACGTACCGAAAGCTGACAATAACTGAGTTCCATGACTTCAAGGGTGCGTTTGACTCAGTCGACCAATGCATTCAGTTCGAACTACTTGCGCGGAAAGGTGTTCCCATGACAGATGTGAACATCATACGTGCTCTATACTCGAACACTACAGATCGAGTCAGGGTTGTTCAATTTACCCGATTTTGTTCAACTTCGTCGTGCACTCCATCATGGAGTGTTCCCTTGCGGAGCCTCAAGATACAGTGTTGAGATGCTGCCTGGTGACAAGCTAGTTGATCTTGTTTGTGCGCACAACATTGTTCTAATCTTTAACGATGTTGGGACGGCGCCATCAATCCTGAATAACCTGCTTAGAGTGGTCCCATGATTTGGCATGAGCTTCGCATCTTCAAAAGGTAAAGTGCTGTCACAGGACCACCAGCCATTTGATGACCCCTTGACGATTGATGGCGAGGAACTTGAGGTAGTTGATGAATTCACTTACCTTGGCAGCTGTAGCAGCAATGATGGACACATAGCAACGGAAGTCAGTTCACGTATTGCCAGAACTGCCTTCTTGAATCTCCGACATATCTGGCGTCAGAAAGGAGTTTCCCTCGATCTGAAAGCGACAGTGAGGGCCGTCCTACTCATTGGAAGCGAGACTTGCCCCCTCCGATCCCAGGACCAGTGGCGCCTTCAAGTCATTGAGCCTCGTTGTCTGCAAAGCACAGCTGGCGTCAGATGGCAACAGCGTGTCCTCGACGATATGCATAGGCGAAAGCTATGTAGTGAGAATCAGGCTATTTCATTAGAACAACAGATATCACAGAATACGGTGCGTTGGCTTGGACAGGTACTACGTACACCTGGTAACTGCTAACCTAAGAGGGCCTTGCTTTGTTTGTCAGATGCTTGGTGACGAAAGGCCCGAGGCAGGCAAAAGTGGACTTGGCAGCGGGAAACGAAGCTACGGACTACCAGACTCGGTGCCGCCTGTCCATCTCGCCTTTCAGTCTGGAGTCCAATCACTCGCCTTGTGCTTTTCTCGAGACTTTACAGGATATGGCTCGCAGTCGACACCATCGGCGTGTCTGCTGTCTTATCATTGTCGGATTGCTGTTTAAAGTGTGCTTGGTGCTGAGTTATCTGCGGGGTAATGGCTGATTATGACGCGGGGTAGTGAAAGCGGCAAGGAAGCTGTCTCGCCGATGCCGCATTATCTTTGCAAGATAGCTAGCTGTTTCTGATGGTATGATGTTGATAAGGTGTAGGTGCCTTGAACCCGAGTGTTTGTTTAGGACATTAAGGTTTTACCGTAGGTCCCCTTCTCTCCCTCATATTTATATTCGTTTCGTAGATGACCTTGGTTGTACGGCCACGAAGCATCAGTTCCAGTGGCTGATGTATTGCAGTTGATGATGATGAATGGATTACAACGTGCAATCTCAACGTCCACAGTGATCCCCACTGAAGTGAACCATGGTCAATACGATTACTGGGACTGCAACTGGGTGTTGCCCACCCATCCAATAAAACGATGAGCACTTCAAAATGACTCACAAACAGTCATTAGCCGCTGTGCCCGGCGTTTCCCATCGTGACGCGGTGGTCAAAAGGGTAGAGCCTTCGGCTACTATTCCAAAGATAGTGGGTTCGAGGCCTGCTATAGTTAACTGAGGAGTTCACATGAAATCGAAACGCATCGTAGTGTGCAGTGCTTTCGGGCGGTAAAGACCCAATATTTACTTGCTTCATCTGTGACAGCCCCAGTGACCGAGCAGATAGATGCATTTCAATGCGAATCACGGTCCACACTGAGATTGCGCGTCGTAATCCATTTACACTGTGAGTACCTCTAAATAACACTCCAACTAGTTATTAACCGTCGCGCCAAGTGTGGCGTGCCGTTAGCCGGTAGCTGAAGGAGCAGAGGTCTCAACTAACATATCTATGGTGCAGGGTTCAAGGCATGCTATCATCATCATCATCATCGTCATCACAATCATCTTCACCATGATCATGGATGTTAGCAAGAGGTGGAAAATAACTCAGCTATTGTGCAGCAATACCTAAGAGAAAAAACCTGTAATACAGGTACGCCAGCTGAGCTACCAGTAACGGACGTGCATCGTTTCAGAAAGCTACCAGCCGGTACTGTCACAAAAAATATATTGTGCAAAATGTATAATATACTAGTAAAAAAGATCGGCGTTGGTAGGAAAGACTAAACGAAGGACGCACAAAGAAACGCCACTGAAATCGGATCCTCGCCATGTCAAGAAGTGTCCAGCAAAACGTGTTTATCGTCCTTCGGACACCCATCAACCGAGGTCAACTTCGAAGTGAGGGCCTTCATTCCTCTTCATCAAGTCATCGTTTGGCCACATCTCCTCTTCTTCTATCCACGCCCCATACACGAAAACAACGCACATCGCGGGAGTCGGTGGGCTTTGTATGCGCAACACGTGGCGTAGCCATCGGAGCCTGGTGCGTGAAATAACCGTGCTGAGCGGTTCATTTTCTTTTCCTGTGCCGTAAAGGCGTCGAACGCGTTCATTGCTCACTCGGTGTTCCCATTAGATATGAGCCAAACTGCGAAGGCATCGATGGTCAAAAGTATCTAGCCTCTTTATGTCTGTCTATTTAATGGTCCAGGCTTCACAACCGTACAGCAGGGTTGAACGTACAGCTGTATTGTAAACTATACCCTTCTTCAAAGAGAAATTTATGTTGCGCCTGCACCATAGGTGGCGAAGGTAAGCAAAAGCGCCTCGAGCTTTTGCTACACAGTTTGTGACCACTTCTTCGATTTCCCAGGCGCTGATACCACTGCCACATGAGTGAAACCGGTCTTGGGGCGCAGTGTTTTTGAGCGGGCCACCCCCAATAAAGATGAGTCGCTTTTCATTAATGTACCGCTGCCAAGAACTGTGTAGCTCATTTGTGTTTCTCACTGAAGGAAACTTAGGTTGGATTTTAGTAGAAAAGCTGAAAGATGTGATCCTACGGAGCACTCTCAATGCGCCGTCCTAGTTTAATGGAAACGACTATCGACCGGTTGGTGGCGTTGCAATGGGCTCTCCCCTAGACCTGCTCTTTACTAGTTCCTGTTTCAAGGAAATTATAACATCCACAATATGTCGATTCGGAGAACATGTGGCATATGCATCATCCGTAACGCATGAAAATTCCGCGAAGTGATGAGTTTGGGTTGTATGATGTTTTCCTAAGAAAACGAATTAATCTGACAACTATCGGCGGAGTGAAGTCCACTTCCATACAAATCGACTGAGATCGTAGCTGTATTTGTTGCGAGGCAAGCAGAGTATGACAACGTTTAGAATAAAGCTTCGGACGTTGAATCAACGCAAGTTCGTACGTACATTGACTGGGACACATTCCAAATGGGTCTGATAGCCGGTTGTCTCATCGTGTATTGTAACTAGTTGGGTAAAGCCCCGAGACAATCAACGATATTGGAAAAGAGCAGGAAAAAATCCACTGAGAAACCGATCAGGGGTAAGACTTGTCGTTTTCCCGGATGAGGGCCGCGGGGGTGATAATATCGGTGATCAACTAATCCATCAGATATTTCGCAGTCACAATTTTGTTGGCCGTTTTGCCCTCGTCCCTGGATAATTGACATCTGGCTATTCTAGTTAGCGAAATTACGCTTTTTGCTTATTCTTAAAGTTAGCGTGACTTATTAGTACTATTACATTGTCATTATTCTTATCCCTATTACCTTACTTTAGCGACGAGAGCCAAGTGAATTAGATCTATTGCAACTTGGACCGTATTTGGCCACTTGAAATGTGAGTTGGTAGGTTGATTGTATGGTCTGAGGATTTGTCGATTCAATTTTCTACCTTTCTCTGATTGACTCCAGTAAATTGGAATTTACCATTCGTCGGTGTGCTTCTTTTTGTTACAAAATTTTATCCTCGCGTGGTCAGTCAATAAATTTTGATCGATCAATATTAGACGGTCGGGTTGCTGCTCATCAGCTAAATAAAACGTTGGATAGAAAAGAAAGGAAAAAGGTCGGTGACATAATTCTGTTGCATTCACATGCCTTGGAGGTGAATTAGGAGAGCTTTGTTGGTTTGGTTGAATAAGGCATGAATACTAGACACCAGATACAATGGTGGGCGAATCCGCGTAAATCCAGCCCACAAAATGTGGTCACGTACAGTCATACTTCAAAGCATGAAACGGAATATTATGCCAAACAAAACGAAACCGACCAATGAGTCTGAAGTACCGGCACTTTAAATTGCATAGATTTGCGGCGGAGACGGAGCGAACTTCTGCGAGTGCAGATCTCGCCGGAGTCTTCGGGGGAAAGTACGTTGGATGGATCGATACCGGCCAAAAGTGAAGATCTTCGTCGCCTAGAAGTGCGAGTTGTAGATGATAAGATAGAACACAGGATAAATAAATAAATAAAACTTTATTTTCGACTACGCGAAGCATGCCTTCAGAGGCTATAAGAGTGACGTAGACCGGGATGCCCGGTCCAAAAAGGTGGCATGCGTCACACTGATAACAAGTAAAAACAACTCTCTAGGATATGCAAAAAATTAAACCTATATGGCAAAGCACCCTTCCGCTGCAATGTAGCAAGAAATAACGCGGTAAGCCATTAGAGTGAAGAAATTCGAAAGCAACAACACAATGACAAGCCAGAGAACGTAATTACCTGCAACTGACTCAAAAGAGAATGATTCATAAACGTGCAGTTAAGCGTAGTTTAGCTTTCAACTCTGACTCATCTAGGGAGGTGGCCCTAACATAGATTGCTACAGCAGCGACAACAGCAACAAGTCAAGAGGAATGGACAAGAGCCAGAAGCATCAGATGGAATAGTCTGGATTCAGATACGAGTGCAAGAGCAGCACTGGCCTCCTTACTGCGTCATATGCGATAGGGCATTTGAGCACTCGTGTCCGATCAGAAGAACACAATCTATAAAAACGACAAGAACCGATCTGACTCAGCCTCTCAGTAAGTTCTTCAAACTTGCCTGTCGTTAATGACTAGTCACCTCGACTTCTAGACAAACGATGTGAATTACTGGTAAACAATACACACCCAGGGATCCACCTGCAAATAGTCGGAGCACATGGCTGGACCCGCGGGTGCTTCGATGAGGGAACTATGCCCCGAGTACAGGAAAGCGGCGAATCCAGTTGCCCGGACTCGTTTCATGTCTTAACGCTATGTTATCGACTGAATTCGCGTCGTCAGGATAACAAATCATAACGGTAAGGGTATGATGCTGAAAAGAAAATGGAATACAAAAAAGGGAGTTATGAAAAGAATGGGCAAGATTAGTCGGGTTGGATTAGAAACGTCTAGATGCAAGAGACCGAATATATAAACGCCACGAGTGCGGAATTTCGCCATGTCTGTCAGAGTCCCCAACCAATGGTGCAGACCAGCCCTACTCTCTCACCCACAAAGATTACATGAATCGGCCTGACAAAGTTTTCCCAACAGTTTCTTCATATCTTAACGCCATGTTATCAATTGGATTCCTCGCGGTTTCACCCAACTTCGTGCAGCCAAGGTGTATAATGAACATCGAAAAAGTAGGTCGCCGAGCATATGGGGGATATGGTCTAGCCAACATAAGCAGTTAAGATTCAGCAAACACTCCAGTGAAGCACAAAAGGCTTCTTGTCAGAAACCAACTGGTGGACCTTAGCATTGTTTACCAGATGTGAGCAATACACCTAGGTACTAGTAAACAAACACGGCCAAGTAAACTGGGCAGGCCTCTGGTCCATACAATAACACCAGCCTTATCGCAGCGTTATACGCCCTACTCTTCACTGACAACAGGATATTTCGCCGTCTCCATAGATGGTTGAGCCACTGGAAAGCCACACGGAGCTTGCTGGTACGCGAAGCAAGTTCCTAAGTCACGTAACCACTAGAAGTGACACAAGGCAGTGTTCTTGGTCCATTGCTATTTCTACTTTACGTTAACGACGTCTTCAGCGTAGTTAAATGCGGCACACCCTATCTTTTCGCCGATGACATCAAAATAGTGTACTCCTTCCATCCTACAAACCTCAGCAATACTCTAATGGAAATCCAACTGGACCTCCATGAGCTTGAGGCTTGGTGCAACACATGGAAAATGTCTTTCAACACTGACAAATGTAGCGCGATGTTATACAGGTGCAATGTTAAGCACAATGCTCTGACCCTCGATAGCAAACCACTTACTATCTGTCAGACCATCTGTGACCTAGGGCTTCGCTACTCATATTCCCTTAACTTCTCAGAACAAGCATTTTATGCAACAGCCAGAGCTAAACAACGCATTGCATTGCTATTCAAAAACCTTACTCTACGAGATTCAATTTGTTCAATGTATGAATCATTCGCCCGCCCTTTACTTGAATATTGCTCAATGGTGTATAGCAACTCCAGGAAGCATGATCGTATCGCCATAGAAAAGGTACAAAGAGCGTTTACAAAGCGCCTTATTGCTACGAGCTTAGTGTTACCCTATTCTGAGCGATGCGACCTACTTAAGCTTGACCCAATATGGCTTCGACGCCTAAAAGTAAACTTAGCACTTTTTTTCAATATCCTGCACAAAAATGTCCACACCCCTAGCATTGATCTATCACTCATGAAACCAAATGGATACGATACACGCAATAGAGAAAATTCTGTGATGGTAAGAAGGTCAAAGACAAACATATCAGCAAACTTTTTCCTAAATCGGTACTCCCGTATTTGGAACAAATTGCCGACCGATATTCGTACTAGCATATCTGAGTATAACTTTCGTAGAAAGCTTGACGAATATCTTACAGTCAGCAATGTGATTATGCTCCTGCGCTGCCCTACAACTATTCAACAAACGTATGAACAAGGTCCAGACAACATATAACTGAAAGTTGCAAATGACTGTATCAGTCAGATCAACAAACACCCGTTGATTCCCTGCTTACCCTTCGCTTTTATTGCCCACTCCGGATCTGCCTGCCCGAAAGCTCACCGCTGATTAGTGGCTCCACTGATACATTGATGGGTTGGAGGTCCAGGCTTCTGTTATCCTCTTCATCCCATCTTGGCTCACTATACTTCCCCTTGATTTTACTTGGCTCCACTGCAACCATGTGTCAGTTGAACTACTGGCAACTTGGTTAGCTGGACCCCCAAATCCGGTTAACTATCTCTCCAATCGTAACTTCACTTCCGTTTCATCTGCTGGCTCACCTACCATTCGTTTGTGAAAGCACTGACGCTTTGGTAGGTAAAGCACCCGGATCCTTTCTTTACATCTTCAACCCACCTTGCTCCCCAACACTTAGCTTCGGTTTTCACTTGACCATATCTTGCTGGTGAATCAACCGACACATTGTCAACATCGACATGTTTGCCACTCAGGACTACTGTAACCTCGTAAACATATCACTGGCGTTCTGTTGGACCAATTCCCTGCATAATCAAACTCCTAGCGCAGTTAGCCAAACTACTGAAGGTTCGGCATTCTTGTTCACAGCCCACAACCCACACATCTTAAGTAATCCGCAATCCGTATTGCGCCTCCTAATTGTAAACAACATCTGCAATACAATAATAAGGTAGTTGCTTAAATATTTCCCTTTTTCACTGTGCAGTAATGTGGACTTATTGTTCCCTGTTAGCCAGACCCATACTGCTGTTCCTTATGCTGAGTCCAGAAATTTGGTTGCGAGACCCTCCCCACACTATATTATTCTCGATTCCACACATGTACATAATTCCCTAGGAAGTTTTCGGCCTCCATCGCACTAATACTTACTAATACTTGCTATTTCCCTTCTGTTTACGTTGATCCGGACCACAATTCGTTCAACGGTACGATGAGATACTTGCTACCGAAAAAAGTTGGATCCGCATAAGAATAACCTACAACTTGAATCCAATCCCACTCAATACGAATCTCCTCGCATCCGATAAACAATTTCAGTTTCAGAGAAAACTTGTACATAATGATCGGTCCAGGGTCTCTGGAACGTGTCTCACCTTTCTGAGAAATATACCTATTATTATTATTATTATAACTACCAAAGCAGGTGAACCAACCCGATAAACCCATTGGCTGTTCGGTAATAGCTAGAACTGGTGGCGCATCGGTCCAGTACTGCAACAATGCTTTGCACTATGAAGGTGCAAAGCACATGATGAAGCGTAGGGAGTTACAAGCGTCCGTTTAGCAACCGCATCCGATCCAAAGGGCCCGACGTTGCCTGCAAATTCCAGGGTAAACATTTAGCCGTTCAACAAAACATCGACACTAGAAATGGAAAGTAGAGGAGTCATTCACAATCAATTCGGTCAAAATGTTTAAGAAAAATTGAGAAGTTGGACATCCCTGACGCTTCCGCTTATCGTGGTGGACTCAGGGGGCTTTCCGTGGACCTATAGGTGTTCAGGAGATTTGTGGTGCGGATTTTAGAGTAGAGTGGAATTCCTTACACTCTACACAGAAGGTAGCTCCAGTCTAAAGAGCAAAAGCTGGGCGGCCTGGGAAGACTCACAAATCATAGCGATATCATCGGCGTATTCCAAGTCCCGAAGACGAGCACCAGGGAGCAGTTCAACGCCGCAAGAATCCGTTTTCCGGGACAGTAACCAGGATCTCGTCCATGAGTAAGTTGAACAAGAATAGAGAGGCTGCGCAACCCAATCTAACACTGTTAGTGATACTGAAAAGGGGTGAAAAATCTCCGTATACTCGCCCGACGCCCGAAGTTTGGAGGTAAATGGCACGGAAAATGTTGATGTACTTCTCAGGTACGCCCCTCTTCAGTAAGCAGTCCCAAAGAAGCACTCTGTCAACAGTGTCAAACGCGGCTCGAATGTCCAAGGATATAACTATGGTTGGTTGACAGAACGCATGGTGATGTTCAAGTATCTAGCGGATCGTAAAGATGTGATAGAGGCAACTGTGACCCGAGCGAAATCCAACTTGTTGTTCACGCAGGTGCTGTTCTCGTAAGCAACTGAGCCCCCCGCAAGAGTAGGGTAACGAGCAGTTTGGATGCAATACAAATGAGGCTGATGTCACGATGGTTGGAGCAAATGGTTCGGTCTCCTTTTTTGTAGACGGGTACAACGTCTGCTAATTTCCAGTCAGATGGGATGGTTTCAGTAGTCCAAATCTGATGTAAGAGAGATGTCAGTTCGCGATTGAGAGCAGGATCTTCATATTTGAAGAGGGCAGGAGGAAGTTCATCTAGGCCAGGGGACTTGTGAGGCTTTAGTGGGCGAAGCTCATTGGAAATCTCTGTCGGTGGAGAAACATCCACGTACCAGGGAGCACTGTGAACCCCGGAAGATAGACTCGGTTGCGCTGGTGGCCAGTTGAACTGTTCTTCAAAGT